TTTCATCCACACCACCCCCAGTCTGTGGCCATTCTTAGAACACTCCTCAGGTACAAAAACACTTTTAGGCAACTCTGGGTACAGATCACGTTTCCACTTATGGCACCTTAGTACTCACAGTAACCCTCCATGGCAGGTTCTATTACTCCGTTTCAGAGATGGGGACATGAGACTTAGAGTGTGAAGTAACTGATTGTAGAGTTTAGAAGTAGTGAGTCAGGTCTCGTGAATTCTCTACCAAGTGGCCTTTGATTTGAAGTCAAAGAAAATCAAAATGATGTCAGAGGGTAGACAATTCCTTAAAACTTCCAAGGAGCAATAAGGTGCAGAGCAGGTAAGGAACAATGAATGGAATGTCTTAATTACTGAATATAGGTCTTTAAAAATCCTGGAAACCAGCACTGAATTGACATAAGCCTTCCTGTGGTTTGCTATCCCAGTGCAGCCATGGTGCCCTCTAGTGGACATTTTGTGCATTCACACAATTTCCTAGGCTGATTTAGCTCGGAAAGAGCTGAGAAAGAAACCCAGCCACAGGTGAGCATCTCCAGCTCCAAGGAAGATTTGTGTTTGCATGCCAGGCCAGGGTCCATTCAGTGTATTCAGCACTTGGCTTACAACGGTCCCCCAAGGAGTCCTTGTCTGTGGACAAATGAGCTCAGGCTTTGTATTACTAATAGGACCTCAATACACATCACTGGGACTTAAATTGAGGGGTCTAGAAAGTGACTTCTTTTTTAATGAGGAAAATTAGTTATCAGAGATGCAAAGTGGCTTCCTAAGGTCACACAGTAAGTCAATGTCAGCAATGGTGAGGCTAGAACCCATGTCTCCTGCCTCCCAATCCAGAACTCTTTCCACTGTTTCACAACTCCCTATTTGTTAGTTGGTTGATGTTTAGCTGTAAATTGGTATGCACATGAGGACTGAAGTTGTAGCTATAATCAGGGAATTGTTTTTGCTTTCAGCCTGCCCACAATCCATACACTTGTAATTCTTTTAATATATTTATTGACCATCTACTGTTGCCAAACACTAATTTGGCATGGTTTTCTAAGTTTGCAGGCCTTTTCACAGGATATTTCAATGTCTGAGGACTGGGCCAGACACTCCTGGAACTTCTTCCCTAAGTCCAAAGCACAAAGGTGTCGGATTTATTTCTCTCTCCTTCCTCCGGCAGAGGTAATCCCTGGGAATGGAAGTGGGTTAGAAACAGATTACTCTGCTCCAGAGATTTAGCTCTCTCCTCCCTAAATGTGGTAGGCAGTGGGGGGTAGAGTCTAGGGAGGGGGATGACAAACAGCCTGACATTCCCCTTTAGGATTATTGCTTGGTTTAGCCAGCTGGCAACTAAGAGCAGAGGAATTAGATTGTTCAGCTAGATGGAACAGCAGGAGCACGGGTTTCTTTCCTGGCTGAACCAGGATGAACATTATCTCTTGGTAAACACACCTTTAGAAATAAAGAGCCTGAGGCAGGCAGGAAAAGATAATGGAAAAGGCCTTTTTTTCTCAGCAGCAAAGAGTGGAAGGTTGAATTTGAAAGAAGAGCAGACAGGGGAAGAAAGTCCTGTTGATAAGGCTAAAGAATGACCCTGGGGCTTGGAGACCACTTGCATTTTCCTGAAGGTTTGAGCTTCAGCAGAGGTGAGAACTACTCCCTAGGGGAAGAGAGTGGAAGCACAGGGTTTCCTGAGGAATCCAGGCTAGATGCTCTGGTTTTAGGACCTGCTAGGGTGGTCCTTGGGGGCAGGGATGTTATCTGCTTCGTGCACGAAGAACAATGAGGCTTCTCTGGCCTCTGCAGGCTCTGTAAAGCCACTCCAGGCCTACCATGGGGCTGAGAAGTAGGACCTTGACCAACCAGAGTGGGCACGTGTATGAAGTAATTAAATGAGTAGCAATTCTGTTTTTTTCCCTCTAAGATTTATTTATTTGTTCATACAGAACTGGGGTACAAGCCAGAGGTGCAGGAGCGGTGAGAGGATTCACCAGAGACAGAGTGGGGAGCAGAACAGGCAGATCGACAAAGTACACTGCTGAGGGGAGCAGCGGGGGGGGGGGTGTCAGGAGAGGTCTCCCTCACCATGTGGTCACCTCCGGGGCCAGGGATTGAACTCTCACTGAAGCGGCTGTGGCCAGCTTGTAGTGCTGCATCCTAACTCACTGCACCACCAGGGAAGGCCCATGAGTAGCAATTCTAAGGATCAGGTAATTTATCACCTCCTTTCTACAGGTGAGGAAAAGAGGAGGAGCAAAGATATAAACTCAGGTTCTACAGCACTGTTAACCACTATGTGGGAGCCATAGCAGTCAATTCTTGGAGCAACAAAGAAGCTCGGGGCATTTTTAGGTAAAGGTCAGTTGAGAACATTTCTTAGAAATTCAGAATTCTTGGTTTCTTCTAAGTGGCCTTATCTTGGACACTTAAGTTTGCTTTGCTCTTCTTATTCTCACTCAGGGGAGGGGGGTAAAATATAAACATGGGACAAGCAAATCTATCACTTGCTTTAACCCAAGTAACATGCTATTATAATTAATAAACACTATAATTATTAGAGACTTCCAGTTCTCCGAGGGACCTTCCTTACTCAAATCCACTATGCTTCCTCTAGAATATAGATTCCCAGGTAGAATTTGAGGAGTTTCAATCTTTGATATCTTTTCAATCATTGCCACTGGAGGAAAAAATAATGCAAGTACATACCCCATGACTCAAGTGATACCTCATCCCTTTTAACTTCATATATAAATTTCAGTAGGACAAAGGATTCCAGGAACTCCCTGTATTTGGAGAAACAGGAAATCAAAGTTTCCCTCACGCCCATAATATTTCTCTCTGGGATTGTACTCAACCATTTATTGAATAAATAAATATTTGATTGTGTACTATGTGCAAGTCTGTTCCTTGCAAGTTTGAGTATCATCAACCTCATTCCTTCCCTTACTTGCATAGAAGTTCCTTTTGTTCTTATTTTGCTTTTTCTAAAATATGAACACCTAGGGTTGCAGGATTAAGAAATGTCCTTATGGTATTACTTCTCCAGTAGATGGTCCCAAGTTTCCACAAAGTTAATGAGCTAGAAAGATAATTTTTTTTACCAAAAATTAGTTAATTAAAAATTTTTCATTTATAATTAATCTCTGAATGAGTTAACCTATATCAACTTCCTTTTCATTGGATCCAGGCTGATATGGAAGAAGTTTGCATTCTTTGAGTCAATGATTAGAGGGCAGATAGAGATGATCTGAGATGTTTGTACTGGCTACTGTGTGACGTTAAAAATAAATTCAGTAGTGCAGCAAATAATCTCAGATAGACTACAGCTATGTATTATCAACAACTTACATATCATGAAGTGGGGTTTCTTCAGTTGGGGAGAGTAGCAAACTGAATTAGTGTTTTACATTCTGGGGTATAGACAGGTGGGAGACTCTTAAGGTAGCAGGTAATATTTTTATTTAAATATTAGGTCTCTTCATTTAAACATTACTAATATGTATTTTTTTTTAAATTATTTATTTATGCATACAAGAGCTGGTGTACAGGCCAGAGGTGTGGGAGTGAGAGGATTCACCAGAGACAGAGTGGGGAGCAAAACAGGCAGATTGACTAAAATACACCCTTGAGGGGAGCAGCAATCAGACAGGAGAGGTCTGTGGCACCCATGTGAGTCAGCTTCCTGGCTGGGGATGGAACTCCAGCTGGATAGTGGTGGATAGTATCACAGTGCTGTGACTTAACCCTTGTGCCATCAGGGAGGCCCAGTAATAGTACTTTTGAACATCTACACGTAGCACCTAATTTTACGTCCCTACTAGTGTGTCTAGTTACAATGCTGTGTGACTAGGACTTAGGGGCGGAATTCTTACCTTGAAAAATTTATACATAGACAATACATGTGATCCCCAAGCCCCAAGATAATCTTTCTTTCCTTTGATAGTCCCTAGCATTTTGCGTGGGTTTTTGTAGTAAACCTATTACAGGCTGTAAGATTCTTTAGGGAAAGCCCATCGCTCCTAACTCATTGCCAAGTACTGTAGGTAAATGCTCAATAAACATTAATTGGCAGTATAAAAAAGCTTCCGCGGGTAAGCATGACAAGAGCCATTCAGCATGGAGTACAGTCCTGGATATTCAGGATGGCCCCCACATCATGAATCCTTTGACAAATGAATGTGAAACAGTATAGTCTCGTAACCTATGGATTCGGGAGTTAGATGATTGAGTTTGAATCCCACTCTGCTAGTATTAATTAAACGATTAATTAATCGTTTAATCTTAAACGATGTGTACTTACTTTCTGAGGCCTCATTTCATATGTAAAAGGAAACTCTTACTCTCGTTTGCCATGAGAATTGAGTTAGTATATGCAGCATGTTTAGAAAATGGCGGGCATCCGCTAAACAATTTCTAAGTATAAACGACTGTTTAATATTAAGCCCGTGCCTCTTTCCTGAAATGACAATGTTTGTATCAGCCCATATGTCTTTTGCTTCAATAACAGACGTCATTATGTTTATTCAGTAAACACGGTAGTCATTAACTGCCTGCATTTGACATTACGAATTTTTTTCACACGGTCCAGATTAGGAAACGAGGTCTCAAGTTGAAGAGTACACAGCATACTGAGGCCAGACCCTACTCGTTTCTGCCCTTCATGGGATCCAAGAATCCATGGGAGAACACTTGCTTCATAAGCACCTTTTCACTTATGAAGTGGAAACAAGGTGCAGCAATGCCCTAACCTTGCAGGAATGCAGCAACTCCCGGCCGCCAGAAAACCTCGCGCGCATGCGCAGCTCGCGCTCCAGCGCTCCGCCTGGCGCGTGACAGCCGTGCATTCCACCCTACCCCCAACCGGGTCTTACTGCGCACGCGCAGTCCGTACTCCACCCCACCCCACCCCACGTGCACGTGCGCGTTCGCGACCGCTCACCCTTCCGCGGAGGGCACGCGCCCTGGAAAATTCCAAACCCCAGCTAGCTCCACCTCTGCGCCTTCTCTTGGCCGCTGGCTCTTCATTCTATCCCGACGGCCTTTGCGTGAACAAAATGGCAGCCCCCATGCCGCGGGGAATGTTTTGCTTATCCAGGGCTTTAGGACGGTGGTCTCGGCAGGTGGGTCGGGTAGGACGAGAGGGGCCTGAGGAGGGGAACAGAGTAGAGGGACAGACTCGGTTTGTGGTTGTCCTTGGTAAGTGTGGACAGTCAGCGGCATACCTAGGGAAGAGTTTGAGGTAGACAGGACCCAGCTACTGAGCTAAGTAGCCTAGTGGAAGAGCATCGATAGAGCCTTGCATTGTCCGCGATTGACTTTGGTCTCGGTCTCTCTGGTGGGAAAGAAGTAATGGTTTGGAAAGTGGACTCACTTCTTCTAAATGCCCTGAATTGAACAGTAGCTGGCAAGGAGGGAGTCCCGTTCTGTCACTGTTCCCGCCCGCACAAACACGTCAGTCAAGAGACATGGCCTTAGAGAGCTTTTTGATCAGTTTGGACCTAGAACAACAGAATAAGGTTTACAGTGGGGTTCCTAAATAGACTAATGAGCAGGTTATGATCTCAGTAAATATAGAGGAGATGCCAAGAAGAGGAATTAAGCGTTTTTAATAGCAATTCGCTCACTTCATTTTAAGTTACCCATCCGACTGAAGGCTCTTTCAAAGCAGAAACCGTGCTTTAACCAACTCAGCATTCTCAGAAATTGACTTACTTCTGTCCTATGGAAATTACGAAAGAAAGTCGATAGTAAATGTTGAATGATGTTAATAGGGGTTGCTTACTGACTTCTAGTAAAACATATCCATAAGCATTAGGAGTGCAACACACTGCCCCATGATCTGTGACTTTACTATTTAATATATCATCCTTTGGGTGTGACTTTTCTATCTTTGTTTAGAATTTTTTCAAGAAGGTAGATTTTTATTTCCAGGGCGACTAACCCTTTCCTGCCTTTCAGCCAGTCCTGGTGATTCAGTCCACAGCTGTAGTTCCAGTGAGAACTAAAAAACGTTTCACACCTCCTGCTTATGAACCTAAATATAAATCGGAAAAAGAGTTTTTAGAATATGCCCGGAAAGCAGGACTGGTCATTCCTCCTGAACGTTTGGAGCGTCCTTTGCATCTGGCTTGTACAGGTGAGATGGAATATTTCTGAGACCCTGATTAAACACCGTTTTGCTGGAGATCTTCTGGCAAGTGGAATGATTTGCACCGTGATTTTGTTTTCACATTATTCCTAGTAGGCAGGCCTGAAGTCTACAGACAGAAGCTCTCAGATATTTAATTATTCTTTTTTTTTCTTAATGAGACCGAATTCCCTGTACATTCTGTCTGCTTCAATCATCTTTTATATCCAAGAGCCTCCTAATTTTATATGCTCTCAATCTTTCAGTGCTTTCTTATTTTTCTCCTTGTCATAACAGCTGGTATCTTTGATGCCTATGTTCCTCCTGAGGGCGATGCGCGAATATCATCTCTTTCAAAGGAAGGACTGGCACAGAAAACTGAGCGGTTGAAGAAAAACGTGGCATCAAAATTATCGTAAGTATCTGAGACTGAGAGTCCACATTGTGTAAAAATTTCTTGTTGCTATTTTATTCTGAAAAGGACCATCTTGGGTTAATTTTGTGTTGGCTGTAAGTTCCTTGATAATTGAACAGTATTTTTTTTTTGTAATAAAGTTTGTAGTCAATGTAGAATACCTTGGGAAATGAGATTTTTAGCATCTCTGCCGTTATTGGTAGTATTGTCATATTAGGGAGTTGAAGTTTATAGGACACACTTGATCACATATTTTATAATTCTAAATAATAAAAGAGAACATTTTTATGTGACAAATACTTTGGAGTTCAAATCTGAAAAGAAAGACAAAAAAAAGAAAAGAAAACAAACCTATTTTAGGGAACTAACCAGGGCCTCGCTGGTGCGCAGGGGGTTAAGTCTCAGCATTTTGAAGCTATCTGCACCCACTGTAGCACAAGTTCAATCCCCAGGCAGAGAGGTGACCCACATGGGGCAGCAGACCTCTCCTGTCTCCCCCTATATATTCCCCTTAGCAGTGTATTTCAGTCAGTCAGTCTGTTCTGCTCCCTACTCTGTCTCTGGTGAATCTTCTCACCCCTCCTCCCCTGCACTGGGCTGACAGCTCAGCTCTTATATGCATAAATAAAATAAATCTTAAAAAAAAAAAAAAGGAGCAGAACCAAAACCTTTTTCTAAGAGAGACTTTTAGAATTTGTCACTCAGATCCTGACTATACCTAAATGATAGGTTCTTTAGGGTCATGTGTAGATTTCTGCTGGGCAAGTGTATTGACTCAGTGTTAATTCTTCATGTGACCATATTTATTTCTCTAAATATAGGTCTTATCACAATTCCTGCTTAAAATTCTGTCATGGTTCCCTATTTCCTGAAGAGTAAAATCTAGACTTTTTTTAGTGTTATTTAAGGCATTTTTATTTGATTCTTGCCTTCCTCTCCAGTATCATTATTTCCTAATTTCCTCATCTCCAAATTAAGCATTTCCAAACAAATTGTTAATTCCCTGACAATTACTGTGTGATGCTTCTGCCTCTGCATAACCTGTCCTTTGCCTGAAAATGTCTTTTTCTGTCTTCTTGGTAATTCCAACTGATTCCTTAAGAGCCAGATGGACATGGTATCTACTCTTAAGCCTTCCCTAACTCTTCTGGGAGCTGCTTTTGCAACTGCAGCTGTAACTGAATATTTAGTACTTCTAGTCATTCTACTGCAATGATTCTCTTTCATGTCATGTACTATTCTCCTGGACTGTGAGGTTGTTGGTACTAGGGTTCATGATGAACAAAGCGAACGTAGATTTATCTTAGAATTATCATCTAGGGGAGGAAAACAGTCATTAAGTGATGACTGCACACGAGTAATTATAGGTACATGAAATATGAGTGCTCTGGGAACATATGGCGGGGAAAGATAACTTGGTCTGGGAATTCTGGGACGACTTCCTTGAGGAAGTTACATTTATAACTGAGGTTTAGGGGGCTTCCCTGGTGGCCTAGGGATTGTCTCAGTGCTGCCATCTCTGAGTTTGACCTGTGGCCAAGGAGCTGGCCCACATATGGTGCACCAGGACCTTTCCTGTTTTGCCTGTTGCTCCTCTTAGCAGGATATTTCAATAGATCTGCCTGTTCTGCTCCCCACTGTCTCTAGTGAATTCCCTCACCCCCTGCACCTCTGGTCTACTCCTCAGTTCTTCTATGCAAAAAATGAATGGAAAATTAAAAAAATAATAAAGCCAAGGCCTAAAGGATTGCCTGGAAGTAGAAGGGTGTAATGAGGAGTAGCATTCCAGGAAGTCAGAACAATGGAAGCAAGGAGGCAAAGGACGTAAAGGGAGTATATTGCTGAAACTGTTTTCTGTGTCGATTGAAATGATCATGTGGTATTTGTCCCTTATTCTATTGATAAAGTGTATGACATTGACATTTTTAAAATATTTTATTTATTTTTGCATAGAAAAACTGGGGTGTAGGCCAGAGGTTCGGGAGTTGAGAGGATTCACCAGAGACAGAGTGGGGGGCAGAACAGGCAGGTGGAGTGAAATACACTGCTGAGGGGAGCAGCTGGTGCCATGTGAGTCACCTCCCTGGTCAGGGATCAAACTCATGCCTTAGCATTGATAGAACTGATACTTAACTCCTATCCCACCGGGGGCCCCGTTAATTGACTTGAATGTAAAACTGAACTTGCATCCCTGGGATGAGTTTCACTTGATTATGGTGTCCCATTTTCTCTTAGTGTACTTATGTTAATAGCATTTGAAAATGCTGCTGACACTAGCGTTATGCAGTACATTACCATTACCTTTCCCTTCCTGCATGTTTTTTTTTTTAGGAGTTAAAATGCTTATTTTTTTTTTAGTGCCCCTAATTGTATAAATTATCTGTCAGTATGTTGTATTGAGTATTTCAGTAATTTCATCTTCAAGAAGAAATCTCTCCTGGAGCCTTAACTGTTTCTGTTTGGACTGGTGCTCTTTAGGCACACTGTACATCTTAGGATCTACTTTGTTATTTTCCTAATATTCCTCTTATCTTACTCTTGCATTTTTCCCCTATTCCTGGATCTTGTGTCTTTCATATTTTATCCCACTTTTTTTGCTGGAATACCTTCCCTATCAACATTCTGAGAAAGGGTGCATGATAAATGAGGCCTTGCAAATCTAATTCAGGCTAGAATTCTGCGCTAAAAATAATTTCTCCTTGGTTAAAAGCCTTGCTTCATTGTCTTTCTAACTTCTAATGTTGCTACTTGGAAGCTCAGTGTCGTTCTGACTTTTGAGTCTTTGTATGATGAAATCTGTGTTTTTTCTTAGTGCTGATATGGTATTTTCTTTGATTCTGGAATTCTGAAATTTCACTATGAGCAAAGCCTTGGTCTTTCTGTAGAATGACTTGGTCTTTCTTTAGAATGATTGACTTAAGTGTGAGTTAGGATATTGAATTTATAGAACTTGGCATATTTAAAAATCAATAATTCAATAAATGGATAGACATTAGTGGAAGTTAATGTAAGTTGAGAGTTACGGAAATTGCTTGATGTCTTCTGATTCAACATGCTTATTTTTACAGAATCCAGAAAATAAAAGAACATGATGCTAATTTTAAAGTAAAGGACTTCCCTGAAAAAGCCAAGGATATCTTCATTGAGGCTCACCTTTGTTTAAACAAGTAAGTGAATTCCTTATCTTACAACCACTGTAAGTGGCTGCTATTCTGAGTACAGGGTGTTTTTTTTTTTTTTTTTTTTTTTTTTTTTTCAGG